TCAGAAAAAGGCTGGAGTAGCGATATTGATCTCAGACAAAATAGATTTTAAAACAAAGACTGTAAGAAGAGACAAAGAAGGGCATTATATAATAGTAGATGGGGTAATCCAGCAAGAAGATATAACCCTTATAAATATCTACGCACCCAACTCAGGTGCGCCTAAATATGTGAAGGAAAGACTGCTGGAGCTAAAAGGAGACATAGGGAAAAATACTATAATTGTTGGAGATCTCAACACCCCGTTATCTCCTATAGACAGATCTTCTAGACAGAAAATAAATAGAGAGATACAGGACTTAAATGATACTATAAATGGAATGGGCTTGACAGATATCTATAGAACTTTCCACCCTACATCCACAACATATACATTTTTCTCACCCCGACATGGAACCTTTTCAAAGATAGATCATATATTAGGACACAAATCAAGCCTTTACAGATTCAAAGGCATAGAAACTGTACCCAGCATCTTCTCTGACCATGATGGAATTAAACTCAAGATTAATTTCAAGAAACAACCCCGAAAACACACGAACACATGGAAACTGAACAACCTACTTCTGAATGACTTCTTCACTACTGAAGAAATTAAGGCTGAAATAAACAAATTTATGGAAACAAATGATAATGAGGACACAAGTGTCCAGAACCTATGGGACACAGCAAAAGCAGTCATAAGAGGGAAATTCATAGCAATTAGTGCACATAAGAAAAGGATGGAAAGATGGCAAGTAGATAACTTATCATCATGCCTCAGAGAACTGGAAAAACAACAACAAACGAACCCCCAAAATGCCAGGCGAAAAGAAATAATAAAGGTTCGAGCAGAAATAAATGAAATAGAAAATAAACGAACCATACAGAAAATAAATGAAAGCAAAAGCTGGTTCTTTGAAAAGATCAACAAGATTGATACTCCATTGGCTAGACTGATCAAGAAGAAGAAAGAAAGAAACCAGATTAATCAAATATGTGATGAAACAGGCAATATTACCACGGACATAGCAGAAATACATAATATCATTAGAGGATACTATGAGCGACTTTACGCCAACAAACAAGATAACCTGGAGGAGATGGACAAATTCCTGGATGCATATAAACTACCAAGATTGGATCAGGAAGACATAGAGAATCTGAATAGACCTATAACAAGCCAGGAGATTGAATCAGTAATTAATAATCTCCCAACAAAGAAAAGCCCAGGCCCAGATGGCTTCACTTGTGAATTCTACAAAACTTTCAAGGAAGAATTAACCCCTATCTTACTAAAATTATTTCTAAAGATTCAAAAGGAAGGAAACCTTCCAAATTCATTTTATGAAGCCTCCATCATCCTCATCCCCAAAACAGATAAGGATATGACAAAAAAGGAAAACTACAGACCAATATCATTGATGAATATAGATGCGAAAATTCTCAACAAGATACTCGCAAATCGTATCCAACAACATATAACAAAGATCATTCATCACGACCAGGTAGGCTTTATACCAGGGATGCAAGGGTGGTTCAATATACGCAAGACCATAAATGTAATACACCACATTAACAGAAAGAAAGATAAAAACCATATGATCATCTCAATTGATGCGGAGAAAGCGTTTGATAAAATACAACATCCTTTTATGATTAAGACTCTCAGTAAGATTGGTATAGAAGGGTCATTTCTGAACACAATAAAAGCAATCTATGAAAAACCTACAGCTAATATTATACTGAATGGGGAAAAGCTGAAAGCTTTTCCTCTGAAAACAGGTACTAGGCAAGGCTGCCCACTTTCTCCACTGCTCTTTAATATAGTACTGGAAGTCTTAGCTATTGCAATCAGAGAAGAGAACAGTATTAAAGGCATTCGAATAGGCAAAGAAGAGTTGAAAATATCTTTATTTGCAGATGACATGATGGTATACTTAGAAGACCCAAAGGTATCCATGAAAAAACTGCTTGAAGTAATAAGTGAATACAGTAAGGTGGCAGGATACAAAATCAATATCCAAAAATCTATAGCATTTCTATTTATGAACAACAAGTTGAATGAAGCAGAGCTGAAGAAAGGAATCCCTTTCACCGTAGCCACAAGATGTATAAGATATCTAGGGATAAACCTAACTAAGAAAGTCAAAGACCTTTATAAAGAAAACTACGAGAATCTTAAAAAAGACATTGAAAGTGACATAAAAAAGTGGAAGGACATCCCATGCTCCTGGATTGGTAGAATTAACATAATCAAAATGGCAATTCTACCCAAATTAATCTACATGTTTAATGCAATTCCAATCAAAATACCAGAGATATTCTTCAGAGATCTAGAAAAGACAATTATAGAATTTGTCTGGAACCATAAAAGACCTCGTATTGCAAAAGCAATCCTGCGTAAGAAGAATGGAGTAGGAGGCATATCACTCCCTGATCCCAAGATATACTATAAAGCTGTGGTCATCAAAACAGCATGGTATTGGCATAAAAACAGACATGTGGACCAATGGAAGAGAATAGAGACCCCAGAAATAACTCCCAAAGCTTATAGCCAACTGATCTTTGACAAAGGATATCAGTCAATCCATTGGGAAAAGGAAAACCTCTTTAGTAAATGGTGCTGGAAAAACTGGGTATCCACCTGCAGAAAGATGAAACTGAACCCCCATCTTTCACCATTAACAACAGTCAACTCAAAATGGATCAAAGATCTGAACCTAAGACCTCAGACAATAAAACTACTTGTGGAAAATGCTGGGGAAACTCTGGGAGACATTGGAGTAGGCAAAGACTTCTTAAATAAGACTCCCAAAGCACAGGCAATAATCCCTAAAATAGACAAGTGGGACTATATTAGACTAAGAAGTTTCTGCACAGCAAAGGACACAGTAACAAGTGTGAACCGACAACCCTCAGAATGGGAAAATATTTTTGTTAAATATGCCTCAGACAAGGGACTGATAACGAGAATACATAGGGAACTCAAGTGCCTTATGCGAAAAAAAATGATTAACCCGATTAAAAGATGGGAAAGTGAGCTGAACAAAAGTCTCTCTAAGGAAGACATACGAACAGCCAAAAAGCATATGAGGAAATGCTCAACATCCCTCATCATAAGGGAAATGCAGATAAAAACCACAATGAGATACCACCTAACCCCTGTCAGAATGGCAAAGATTAAGAATATAAAAAGTGATAAGTGTTGGCGGGGATGTGGTGAAAAGGGAACCCTCCTACACTGTTGGTGGGAATGTAAACTAGTTCAACCACTGTGGAGAACAATATGGAGGTTCCTCAAAGATCTACAAATAGAACTACCATTTGATCCAGCAATCCCACTTCTGGGTATTTACCCAAAAGACAGGAGAACGCTCAGTCAGAAAAGTGCTTGCACATCCATGTTTATTGCAGCATTATTCACAATTGCCAAGACATGGAACCAACCTAAATGTCCACAAACTGATGAATGGATTGGAAAAGTGTGGTATATATACTCTATGGAATACTACTCAGCCATAAAAAATAACAAGACCCTGGAATTTGATAGAAAATGGTCAGATATGGAGGATCTATTGCTGAGTGAAGCAAGCCAGGCTATGGAAGAAAGATATTGTATGTATCCACTCAATATATACCGACTATCCGCACTCTATAATAGAGAGCAAAAAATCGGAGGACATAAAAACAGTGAAGGTACTTAATGAGAATAGGACAGTGTGGAATGGGGTAAGTGAAGAGAAGAGGATAGAGAAAGATAGCAAGTGAACAATAGAGAGACAGGACGTTAGTGAGAAACAGATAGGGCTTATTAACTGTTGATGATGACATGTATAGTATTCTCAACTGGATTGGTCTGAGAAGTATTTCATGATGGGCAAAGTATTTTTACAAGCAAAACGAGAAATAGCAAATGACTGTTTTATAAAAATAATTAGAATAATAAAGATAATGATTGGGGAAAACAGAAAAGATATGGAATGTTGAAGTGGGGAGATTAATGTCTCTGTACTGACTGACGTGCATGGCATTCCCTTTTGAAGAAACAATGTAATACACTGTAAAGTTATATGTAATCCAATGTAATATGAAGAAGATTATGATGATAATAAAAATAAAAAAAAATAAAAAAAGAATTATGTAATTTGTCTGCCACGGAAATCAGTTAACATATGAAGTACACTCACACTTGTTGCATTACTATCTCAAAATATTCACACCTCCCTATTCTTACTGATTTCTGTGTAATTTTGCAATATTCTCTTCCCTTTATGGATAGGTATTCTGTCCCTCCTCTGTCTCTGAGCTTGGCTGTATGCTTCACTCCACCAATGGAAAATTAGTCAACTTGGTGCAAAATTAGTCAACTTGGTGAGATTTTAAAAAGTACTCAGGCATTCCCACTTCCATTTTTGCCCTCTTTTATAATCATGAAAGAGTCATGCCTAGACCTTCCTATAAAGCCATCTTAGATCATCTGAGAGTCACTGACCTCCCAGGTATTTCAGTAAGTACAACCAAAGTTATCCAAGCAGCCTATCAGACCTACGTGTGACAGCACATGGAGGGGAGCCAGCCAAGATCAGCCAAATCCAGCCCAGATCACACGAATCCAACAAACTTGCGTGCTAAATTAATTATTGTTGCATGCCAGTAGAGGTTTTGAGATTGTCTGCTATGTAACAGTATGTGCAATAGATCACTTATAACATTTATGCTTCAAAATTTTATCAGCCAGAATATTTCTCATTCTTGGAAAACACATTACGCATTTAAGGACACATTTTCCCTCTAGCATTAAAAGTTCCAAGTTTCTCTATACAGAGTAATAGCATAATGGATGATTATCGAAAAAAGACTGTTTCTTTCTTATTCAAATGTCAACATACCTAACTTGCAAAAGCAAAGGAAGGAAGGACATGCTTTTGAGATGTGGGATATTATACTTATAATTAACTGATAATATTTAATCTGTAACTAACTGGCAAAGGATTTTAAAATTCAATAAAATAGACTCACCTGATCTGCCGTAAATTCTGCCAAGAAATAGTTTCCATTTTCATAAGTATCTACAAGAAAGAAAAAGAAAAGAATAAGCCATTATTTGTTGCTTAATGTGCATAATCTTGAGTAAAGTCAGAAAGTATCTCAATAGGGTCACAATTATTGGCCCAAGTAATCATTACCACTCTGAGGAACACGGAAGATAGTATCTGAGGGAATATTTCACCACAGGGTAGTGAGGGGAAGTGCAAATAGAAGGGAATATTTTGAGGCGAGGGTCAGGAGGTTGCAAATACAAGAGGATCTAGGTTGAACCAAGGACAGTTAAGTATAGTAGCTACTGGTTGGTTATTCTGTGATCACAGAGTAAACATAAAACTCTGAGACTGCACAGCTATGATGAGGAAGGCAGAAGATGGTGGTTAGGGATTCCGAATGTCAATTTTAATAGACATGAATTCAAATCCCAGCTCCTGTACTTAGTAGTTGAGAAATCTCAGACAAGGATGTTATTTGTAGCAAAAAAAAAAAAAAATTTGAAAATCCTTTCTTTAGAGAGTAATTATAGAGAGTTAAATAAAAGTTGGCATGTCTTCTCAAAATAATATGGAAATCATAATGTGAGATGAAAACAAATAGGATTTGCAAATTAAACATGCAATATGTTTTTGACTAAATAAAAATTACGTAGTTTCTTCCTTAAAAAAACTATTTTATTTAACTTTATTTATCCATTCATTTATCTATTTTAATTTGACCAGAGAGGGATAGAGTGAGAGAGAGAGTAAGCAAGCCGCCAGGTCTGGAACTTAAACTGCAGAGGACCATGTGAGAGTCCAGCACCCTTAACCATCATGCCACCTGCCAACCCTAAGTATTTTCTTAAAAATCAAAGCAAAAGGCAATATAGGCAATAAAGGCAATACAGAAAAAATGGTTATATTTTTTCTTTTACTTAAAAAAAAATGTCTATAGGTACATACAGCCACTGGAGAGAGAAAGAGACAGAGTGAAAATGAGAAAGCATCCCTCAAGGGAGACCACTACACCACAATCCCTTCTCTTCCATTCTCCTCCTGGAATTTTAGGCATACATGCACACGTACCTGGCATGTTTTTCAAGCTGCCAGATTTGAGATTTGAATGAAGAGTTGATCATGTGAGATACAGTTGCCTTAACCTCCATACCTTAGCTTGTCCAATTATATGGTTGTTTTTAGTTTTCTATCTTTTAAAATTTCTCTTTAATGAGATCATATTATCTTTATAATGAAGAAAACCAAAAAGAAGAAATAGTAATAGTGAAAACTAAGCTTTAATTTTAGAAAATGTGGCATGTTGCAAGACTAGAATATTCTGGTTCACAGTAATAAGTAGTGAAGAGTGAGAGTCAGTCGCTAACAGTGTGCCAGTATTTTGTCAGTATTTCTAGAGAAATGTCTGAGGAAGAGATTGTCCTGATTATAATGACAAATGCCCCTTATCTAAGATAGAACTAGCATATCCGTTGGTTGGGGAAAGAACAAACACAAATATTAATAATATCACAATGACTTAAGTATCCTTTTGGCAATACTTATTTCCCGATACATGAGTCACCAAGGTATTTCTTAGGCTCTAATTTATCTCCAAGTGGCTTACTTATGAGGAACACGATGCCTGGTACAGATGGCTGGCCCAAATAATAGACCCATGTCTGTGTCCTCCTGAGAATGCATTAACGGTCAGCCTGTTATTTGCTTTGTTTCTTTTCCTTTAGGTTTTTGCAGTAGGGCATTGTGCTTGTCAGAGAGAGGAGGAGGGAGGCAGTGAGAGCAAAAGTAAGAAATCACTCCCTAGGAGGAGATGACCATGCCACAGTCCCTTCTCCAGTCTCCCCAAATCTCCAGGATTTGGGGCATGCACACACATGTACCTAGCATGATTTTCAAGTCACGAGATCTTCAAGTCAACCACTCCAACTGTGGTTGACCATGTGGGAATCCAACACCTTAACCACCATGCCACCTGCTGGCCCCCAGCCTGTTATTTTTATCTCCACCATTTTATCAGAGTGACAAAGTTTTACAAAGATAGACCATCTCTGGCTGAATCCATAACATCAGATTCCTGAACTACAAAGCTGGAGACCATACCTGGTGTATAATAATTACAACACAATACACATGCACAGGCAGCATCCCCAAAATTATCCCAGAACCACTGTGCTATGGGAAGTAGCAGAGATGAAGCGCAGTTTTCAGTTCCTGCTGTTTATACGCTGAACTTCTATGGCATGGTTATTTTGAATGATGTACAGGAGAGCCTGGAAAGTTCATACGCACCAATGCTTTGTCCATCATCCCAGAACATCTGACCCTCAGCTCTTCCATTATCATCCAAAGCAACAGTCAATCCCATAAAGTTTTGTCGACTACAAAAAAAAAAAAATATTTTTCTCTAGATTATAGGTTGTAAGAATGAAGAACAGAGGGTTGAACAGTGATCCAGCAGTAGAATGCAATGTGCTGAGACTAACCCACATGGGAAGCTTCTAGGTTAGTATCCAGAGACCTCCCTGAGTATGCCAGACATGTATGTGCTTGGGATCTGGGGCTGGCTGAAGTTGGGGTGAATCACAGCATCAAGGCCCTGTTGGTAGAGCTTTCTCTGCCTCTTTGTTTCTCACTCATGGAAGAAATGCATTTTTTTTAAAAAAGAATGAAAACGACTTCTGTCAAAATATCACTTATTCTAGAAAGAAAAGTAATGCATTAAATATGCACATGAAGTTCTAAAAATAGGTAAAACACAATAAAATATGACAGACTTAAATATTAACAGAAAACATTTAAAATGAATGAAACATTTGAAGTTTAGCTTTTAAAAATCAAATGTGCATACTTTATATCTGAACACTTGTGATCTAATAACACCCCTCTCCTGCTCACCTCCTGCCCCCCGCCCCCAGTTTTCAGGTTGCTTGAGAATAAAATCTAAAGTGTTTATTTACCTTGGCATTCACGATCTTCCATGATATGATCCTAACCTGTAGGAATTGTATTTATTTTACCCCTTCCCTTATCTATGTTCCAGTTCAACTGAACGGTTTACTATTCCCAAATGCAACTATTTTTCACCTTTAGTTCTTTAATCTTTCCAGAATATGTCTCTCCCCTATCTTCATGCATCCAAATCCTATTCATTATTCAAGATCCAGCTCAAAGCCTTCTTTCACATGAAACCATGCTCTCTATCACAGGGCCGAAAGTTAACCTTTGTCCTTTAAGTTGTTTTTATATGCCTCTCCCCAAACAACATGTCCTAGTTAATGGATTATTTCATATAAATACATTCATACTATATAATATTTTATATATACACATGTATGCAGTATCTACATAAGTAATTTTTCACAAGGTCCATGGAAAATGCATATTATAAAAAATTGCATGAATTTCAAAATTTTTTTATACCAACACAAACTTGTATTTCCAGTTTTCACTAACTTTCTGAAATGCATGTGGCTCTCTAGATTATACATATATAAATATCTTTGGGGGTTGACTAGAGGAGGCCTAGGGTGACAGGACTAGATCCCTAGTAGCTGTCATAAGTCCAAGTGCTCATTAATATTCCTATTTTTTTTCAAGAATGTAAGACATTGTAAGACAAGCATGTTTCTGCCTTCAAGGGAAAGTTTAGTGCTACAAATAAACGATCTCCCAAGACTGACTCCATGAACACACTCTCCTCCAGATTCCACTCAGAAGGCACTCTCTGAAGTTGGTTTGTTTGTCTACGTAGCCTTGGTTAAGGTGGGACAGTCACTTGTAAGGCAGCCTCACTGCAGCAGAGCTAGACCATCAAGTACCAATTCTCCTTACCTGTAGTGAGTGTTACTTGCAGGTTCCTGCCATGGCAAGATGAACCCTCCTCGGACATGAAGGTTGATGTGGTCAAGGGGAGCTTCCAGGAATTTCCACTCACCTGTTGAATCACTGCCAGATGCCTGGAAAGGAGAATACAGGTAAGAGATGATGACAGATAAATACTCAACCAGTGTATGCTTTATTACAAGATTTTTTTCTTTCTAAGAAAGCATTCTAGAAAGTCAGAAAAATACTGCAAAACTAAAGAGATTTTTTTTTTTATTTTTAGTTTTGCTTAAAACTGAAAAAGTTTAAAAATCTATATGATCAAAAAAGATATGGGTGGAGGGGTCAATTTGATAGAACTGCTTATATATTATTATTAATGTGTTTACTTATACTTTCACTTAAGTAAACCTTGTCATGGCTGAAAGGCTGAAAATTACTGCTTTAGAAAATATGTTCCGGGGATCAGCAGTTAGCGTAATGGCTATGTCACTGGACTCCCATGTAGTCGACCGCAGTTCACGTCCCAGACCCAGTGGCTTAAAACATGCTGGGCGCGTGTGCGTGCGTGCCCAAGATTCTGGAGAGGAGAATGGAGGAGAAGGGATTGCGGCGTGACCATCCCCCTGGGCGGTGATTTCTCGCTTTCTGTCTCTCTGTCTCTGTCTGTCTGGCGAGCGCACGTGCCCTATAGCAAGAACCTCTCAAAAAAAAAAAAATTAAAATATATGTTCCTCCGGGTCAGCAGGTGGCATAGGTTAAGGTGCTGGACCACCACATGGTCAACCACAGTTTGAGTTCCAGACCTGGTGGCTTGAAACACACCAGGCATGTGTGCATGTGCACCCAAAATCCAAAGAGGAGAATGGCCAACCCCCTGGGGAGTGATTTCTCATTTTCTGTCTCTGTCTCTTGGGTGAATGCACACACCTTATAGCAAAAATTTCTCTCCCCCAGAAAAAAAAAAAAAAAAAGAAGAAGAAGAAGAAAATATGTGCCTAGAAGTCAGGAGAACTCTCTAAGTGCCCCCAACTCCCATGGACCAAGATGGTTCTTCAGGATAGGTGTTAGTTCTTACCGTACTATAGTCATACCAACGGGCTCTGGGAAAATAAGCACTGATCTCCAAAATGTTCTGAAACATAAAATCAACATCTTATTATAAATATTCCAATAAGGAAATAATTTCATTTCAATTTTTAAAACACTTTCTGTAGAATTAAGATAAATATGGGAATTTTATTAGTGATTTTAAAAATATGAGAGATTTTATTGAGAAGGATCTTGGAAAATTCTTCAAATATACAAAAATTTTTTTTCAGTGAATTGTAAAAGGATGGAAGGTGACAATGTTCTAAAGTGAGCAATCAATTGGTGTCATAAAATTTTCTTTAATGGAGATCTTAAAAATTAAAAGCTACTTTATATATCCTACGAAGGCATTTGCAGAAAATAATACACTGCACAAAACAAGATGATTAAAGTGCTTTCTCCATGACTTTGGGATACATAATTGGTGGATTACTGTCTATGAAAAACTCACACTTTCCAGAACAGGGCTGATTAAAATGGCAGGGCCCAACATGAACTGACGGTCTATATTCCATGTTGTTTTATCACCTGTGAATCTTGAAAAATAAATATGAAAAAATTACCCATACTTTTATGATTGCCACAGAGGATTGTTGACAGGAGATTCCTGCTTGGAGAAAGAGGCTGTACTCACTCATGGAGAAGGGGCCGGACGACAGTGCTGCCCTCGACATGGGCTTTATGCATCAGAGTGTAGAGGTAAGGCAGCAGGGTGTACCTGGTCTGGAGGACTTTCCTTGAAAACATCTCAAAGGCCGAATTCCAGGCCACAGGATCTTGTCTCTAAAAGGATAAGGGAGCATATAACAGATCCTTCTTCACTTCCCCTAAGTGCTATCAAAAAGGTCAGCAGACCCTTATTTCACATATAGGTTACACGTATGGCTCCCTTCATGTCCAGCCTACTCTTTCACCCACTTGCCTGCCTACAGAACTAGATTTTCTCACTTCTTCCTCTTTATCAATGATTCCTAGGCCTCTCCACAGATCTAGGTAGGGCCCTGCACATGTGTAGAAAGATAGCTTGCCAAGCAGTACTGATGTATCTTGAGCAGATTTCAGTAAAATATAAACTCAATATTCTTTTTATATTTATTGCCAGAGAACACACAAGAAAAACAGAGACACAGAGGAGGGAAAAAAAAGAGAGGGACAGAGAGAAAGTACCCTCCACCCCAAAGGAGCATGGTAACACCACAATTCCTTCTCCTTCACTTCTCTATCCTGTTTGGATTTGGAGCACACACATGAGAACCCAGCATAGTTTTTCACACTGCTAAGACTATGATTCAAATCGTGGTTGGCCATATGGGACCCACTCTTTTAATCACTTGATTATAGGCCAGCTCCAATTCAATATTCTTGAAAACAATAGGCAGTTATTTTATTTTAGCTCAATATTGGAGGGGCCTCTAAAAACTGCTCTGAGGCCAGTCCATGATGAGGTGGTTAAGGCAGTTGAGTCCCACATAACTTGCTATGCAGTACGAATCTGGAACCCAGTGCTTGAGAAACATACTGGGCACCTGCGCGTGCATGCCCCAAATCCCAAGAACTTAGAAGGAATTGCAGCATAACCATGACCATGAGAGAGATCTTCTCTCTTCCCCCTTCTTTATCTGTCTCCTGCAAGTGTATGCACCCTCTGGGGAGACGAAATCTACTCTCATGATAGGTATTAATCCTCTGAGAGATAAGAAAAAAAATTCTTAATAATTATTGTTAACTCTGGGGTTCTGAACTTGGTGGGTTTTCCTAGAAATGAAGGTTCTGGTGGTTTTGGTTTTTTGTTTTGTTTTGTTTTGTTTTGTTTTGTTTTGTTTTGTTTTTTAAGGTTTTTTGTCATAGAGTGCAGGGACTCACTGGAAAGAGACAGTGAGAGGAAAGGTGAGAAATCACCCCTCAGGAGGGATGGCCACACCTCAATCCAATCTCCTCCATGCTCCTCTTCAGATTTCGGGCATGTATACACATGCACCCAGCATGATTTTCAAGCCCTCAGGTCTGGGACTCAAACTGAGATTGGCCATGTGGGAATCTAGCACCATCTTAACCACCATGCCACCTGCTAGCCCTGGTTCTGGTGACTTTTCTTGGGACATATATATTACATACGGGCATGTGTGTGTGTGTGTGTGTGTGTGTATAATTTGCTATAGGGCACATGCACTCATCAAAGAGAGACAAATAGAAAGATAAAGAGAATGTGAGAAAGCACCTCCCAGGGGTGGCCAGGTCACAATCCCTTCTCCTTTCAGGCCTTTGGACATGCACATATACACACATCTGGCATGTTTTCAAGCTACCAGGTCCAGGCCTCAAACCACACAGCTGATCATGTGGGATCCACCTCCTTAATCGCCCTGGCACTGGCTGGCCAAGGATGAAAAGAAGAATGATCTGAAGATATAAAATATCTGCAGCGTGAACTGCAGCCTCACCCTTGTCCCAACGGTGTTGTGATTCCTGGAAAATGGGTAAAATGCACCCAGTTGCATCCAGCGAATACACATCTCATATTCGGCATCTCCAAAGAATCCACAAATATCTGCTCCTGTCTGAGAATATGCAAGTCAGAATATGAGGTTGAACTTTCTTGGGTTGCAGACATACCAAAATCTGACTGGGTCATTAGTAATAGCCCCAATTTGACTTACATAAGATATTCCAAAGAGACTGAACTCCATCATGCCTGCAACAAGAAGATATGACCACAGTGGGTGAAGAAGCACTTTGGGGAGGAACCAGAAGATTTGGTCCATCTCGTTCTTACACCATTATAAAGCCCTGTGTCACTCATGATGAAAATATTAAAGGGGAACATAAATTAAAACTCCCACCCAGAGAGACCTCAATTCTTGTTGATTTTACTACCTACTATCATCTAGTTGATGACCTAGAGCAGCTGCCTGGCACGTGCCCCAGTCCCACCCCCTGTCAACAGAGGCCCCAGGAACAAGCCCACGCACCAATGATTGATTTCTTCAGCTGGTCCCATGCAGCTGTGTTGTCTCCCAGCCAGTGTCCTGCCCAGCGGCCAGAAGAGGGGAAGGTGGAGCGGGTGATGACAATGCCTCGCTGTCCCGTCACCTCCTGCACGGCTCTAGTTAGAGGAAAATGAAGAAATTGAGGCTAAATTGGGGGGTGGATGCCATGGAACTTCATTACAGAGAGTAGCCACAGCTTGGACCTTGAGAAGGCGATAGCGCTCCATTCTGAGTCAAAGAACTTCTCAGAAAAGAAATCTCTTATCTAAAAGTGATACTAAGGGGCTGGCAGGTGGCATGGTTGTGACGCTGGACTCCTACATGGCTGACTGCAGTTCTAGTCTCTGACCTGATAGCTTGCTTTCTCACTTTCCCTTTCTCTCTCTCTTTGGTCAATTAAAACAAAAATAAATAATAATAATAACAAATAAAGTAAAATAAGTTTTTTTTTAAAGTGATATTATCTGTTGAAGCTATTTTACAGTTTAATCAACCAGACTAGGAAGAAATATTCACATATTGAAATATTCATTTTGTAAGGTAAATAATGTGATTGAATGTATAAAATAAAATGAAATTTTAAAAAAAGAAAAAAAAGAAACTAAAACAAAAGTGATACTAAGAATCTCAACCAATTTCACAGCAAGACATCTAAAGATATATCTGCATCTAGAATGTGGATTCCATTTTTAAATATAATTATTTGTTATCTACATGAAGGTAAGCTGAGAGCTGAGGGTGAGGGTTATGACAACTAAGTATGGAACAAACTGTCTACCCCGGAAGTGTACTGGTCACAGTTGACATCGTATTTCACAACCTCATAAAGAAGGTTTCCTTGTACTCCTTTTATGATTAGGAAACGGAGACTTGAAAAAGGTACATAACTTCTCACAGGTCATTTTAAGAACAAAAGGCAGATCTGGAATCCAAATAAAGGTATATATCACTACTGCCTTTGGGTAATATTCAGTCTATACCTCGAAAAGCAGGATATGGCCCTGCCACAGTGATGCAAGTGCTAGGGCACCACCCTGCAATACTGGAGCCACATGGGAGGGCCTCAGGTTCTAATTCTTGGTCCACCTGAACATACTTTGGGCACCTGTAGGTACACTCACGACTACACAAACAAATATACACAAAAGATGTTTAACTATGTCTTGATAGAAGATGATCTGCTTGCATCTTAATCAGAATATAAACTGTGTGGGAAAAAAATTGATGTAACAAAATGCAAAGTCTACTAACAGATCCTAGTATGTTCACAATCCAAGTATTCGCTAAAGAAGCATCATGAAACAACAGATACAAGTGGATTATTCAATAAATGATGTCATGAAAAGAAGTGAGTTTCTGTAGCGGAAACTAGTCAGTTCAGGCCACTTTCAATATTCTATCAAAGCAAAACAAATCCAAAATGGATAGACATACACATACATGCACATGCATGCACATGCACACACCCCATTAACACTGAAAGAACATATAAATCATCTAATTTTTGTGAGGGAAAGGGATTTCAAATCATTAAAAAGAATAAAACAGAATGAGGTAAAAGCTGAAGATTTAACCATAAACAGATTCAAAAAAGGAAGGACTGTCAAAAAGTTCATGAAAAGTGAAATTAAATATGAATTTATTTAGTGCAAAAAATGTTGAAATCCATGAATAATTTTTTATAATATGCATCTTCCATGAACTCTTTGAAAACCACTCATAGGTATAGGCATGCATATATAGTAAAGGAATGGAGGAGGCGGACCATGCAGATCTTTGTAACAGTGTAGGTAACGAATCATGAGAGCCTATGTTAAGAAAGGTATACAGGACAAAGAGAATATAAGCATTGTGAAGAACTTTGTCATTGACAGAAAGTAGAAAAAGGAGGAGGAAAGCAAGATGGTCTAGATGACTACTAGACATGGTTTTATTGGCTTAAATAAAGAATACAAGAGAATAGTTTTAAAGGAAATATACTTATTTCACCTTTTTCTTCCCTAGGGAAAGCATGGGCTCCCCAGAAAGAAACAGGGAGACTAACAGAGGGATATGGGAAAGCACCCCCAGGAAGAATGGTCATGCTGCAATCTCTTCTCTGCCATCTCTCCCTCTCTTTGGGATTTTGGGTGTGCACAAACAGGCCTAGTGTGCTTCTCAAGCTGTCAGATATGGGACTCAAACCACATGGTACACCATGTGGGATCTGGCTGCCTTAACCACCAGGCCACAGAGCCAGTCCTTACTTAAACATTTTAAATATTAGGTTGGAAATACCTATGGCATATCAGAAGCGATTTATCTCTGGGAAATTCTAAGTTTGAACCTCAGAGAGAGGTCTGGGCTGGAGACATAGATTTGGGGTTCATCTGTATTCAGAAGGTGTTTAAAGCCACTAGTGCATGTGTGTGTATGTGCACTCATAGGCTCACACACCCACCGATGTATGAAAGGAAGGTAGTTCAATAGCAGCCAATGAGGACTAAAGCAACTAGAAGGGGAACCTGAAAGCAGCTTGTGAAATGGTGAGCAAAGAGGTTAATGCACAAATATCCTCAACCTAGATGAGAAAGCAGTCAGGACTCTGAAAAGTTAGAGACAGCTCAAGGAGCAGATGCAGCAGGGTATACTGTAACCCTCGAGATTAGCAGAGGGCAGCCTGTGTGCAGATCAGCAGAGAACCACTGGTGAGCAAAACTGACCAGCCATCTCATACTCTCTGAGTTCTCTCTTCCTGTGGGGGCTCAGGAGCTACAGAAGAATTATTTTATCTTATTTTGACAAGAGGGAATAAATGTGTCTCAATACCAAGAGAGAAAAGGCAAGTAAGACATGGTCCCTGTCCTCAACCAAATGTATCAAGGAGGTAGCAGTTAAAAATGTGGATCGGACTGTAAGGTTAGTGGTTAAGAAAAGGAGATGAGGAAGAATAGAATAGCTGTCCAAGATTTTTTCATGGAGGAAATAGATTTAAGCTGGACTTTAGGTAATTTGTACTAAGAGGCTAACCTCTTCAAAGTCAGGATGGCTAACATGTATGTTTGGTTATGTGGGAAACATCAAAATGTAGTAGAGAGAATTAAACAGCATGTGCAGACACATTTTGAAATGGCTTGGATATGAAGGGGAGTAGAGAGAGTGCATGATAGTTGGCAGAGGATATGGGTCAAAGCAAGAAAGACTGTGACATTCTCAACTGGAAAGAAATGTTTAAAAATAATATACATATGGATTAATTGATAGCATGTGCACTTCCCAGAGAGAAGCAGCGGGGCATGGTAATACTACCATCGTTTTTTTTCTGAATTCCTCCTTATGATTAGGATTTTGGGTGTGCACACACACACACTCACTATTAAGTTGGGCTTTGAGTCAAATCGAATGGCCACAACACCCTGGGAATAGAGATTTTTCTATGGGGTTGGAATATAAACAAAAAATGTGCTGTGCTCTGGGGACGGTGATCAGTACAATACAATCCAGCATCCAGAAATAAGCCTTCTCATTTACTGACGGCTGATTTTTTTTTATTTAAATTTATTCATTCTCTACATTAATTCACTATATACCATCACAACACACAAATGAATTTTCCATCCAAAATACACTGTGCATTGGCTCAATCAAGCATATCAACATACATGTTCTCAACAAATAATTTTCCAATTCTTATGTCCTGTATACCTTGCCGTTGGTTTTGCCTTCCTTGATTCCCCATCCCCCACCCTCTGCTATGTCCCATCCTCCTCCCACATTGTCCCTGGCATCCATGGTTGCCCTCCATGCCTTCCCCCCCCCCATTCAATTGTTCTGCCAATGAACTTAATTAGTCTAAATATATCCAATAGCTAGCACAGCTGACACATACCTATACATGAACCCAAGTCTGACTTTAGGCATAAACCCCAGTGAGTAGAATGAACATACTATAAAGTAGTACCCAGCTGTGCCCATACAGCTCACTGCAGTCGTCAAATGTGCATTTTTTTTTTTTACAAAATGATACGAACAGTTTTACCATTTTATTTTTCTCCTGCAACTTTTTTTTTTTTTTAATATTACCTAACATTCATTCCCTGAGCATCATCTGACGGCTGATTTTTGACAAGATGCCAGGATAATTAAATGGGGGAATGAATTTGTTTTTCAACAAAGTGGGATAACTTTTGCATATAAATGTACAAAAGAATGAAATTAGATGACTACCTCCTACCATACACAAAACAATTAACTCAAAGTGGGTCATAGATCTTAGTGTTAATACCTAAGACTGCAAGATTTTGGGGAAAATAAAGGAGTAAATCTTCAAGATCTTGTGTTAGGCAATGTTTTCTTGAATAAAGCATCAAGTGACAAATCAATAAGTAAATAAATGAATAAGCAAATAAGACCTCATTTAAAAATTTGTCCTTCAGGGGCCATCAGGTGGCACAGTACTTAAGGTGCTGGACTCCCGCATTGCCTACTATGATTCAAGTCACAGACCTGGCGGCTTCCTTTCTCACTTTTTCTCTCTCTCTGGTCAAATTAAAAATAATAACAAATAAAATTAAAACTTAAAAACAATTTTCCTCTAAATGGCATTATTACAGGAGTTAAAAGACTTCTACTAAATAAGAAAATATATTTGCAAGTCATATATCTCACAAGGGATTTGTATTCAGAATATATAAAGAACTTCTGCAATTCAATAAAAAAGATAAATAACTCTACTAAAAATAGGTACAGGATTTAAACAGTCAGTTTTTCAAAGAAGATATACAAATGACTAATAAACAGATGAAAAGGTACTCAACAGCATTATTATTAAGGAAATGAAGTTAAAACAACAATTAGATTTCACTTCATACTCAGAATTCTACAGTTAAATAGATTTTTTTTTCTTTTTTTTGGAGAGGTTTTTGCTATAGGGCGCGTGTGCTCGCCAGACAGACAGAGAGAGACAGAGAGATAGAAAGTGAGAAATCATCCCCCAGGGGGGATGGTCATGCTGCAATCCCTTCTCCTCCATTCTCCTCTCGGGATCTTGGGCACGCATGCACATGCACCCAGCGTGAGTTTAAGCCACTGGGTCCGGATGCGAACCGCGGTCAACTACATGGGAGTCCAGCGACATAGCCATTACTCTAACTGCTGGTCCCCAATTAAATAGATTTTTAAAAATCAAGGGTTGACAACAATGTAGAACAATTGCGATCCTCATGTATTGCTGGTAAGAATGTTAAATTGTACCTCTTCTTTCAAAAATAGTTTGGCATTTCTTCAAAACATTACACATATATTTATCATATGACCTAGAAGTTCTATTTCTGGATATAATTCAAGAGGGGGAAAAAATGTTCACTTAAAATTTTGCACATAATGTTCACAGCATCACTATTTGTCGTAACCAAAACGTGGAAACAAACTACATTTCTAGGGACTGATGAATGGATACACAAAATATGATACAGCTATACAATGGAATATTACTCATCAGTTGAAAAACTAATTGATTATAGGTGCTTGCAACATAGATGAAACTCAGAAACATTACAGCAAGCGAATGTGGTCAGACATAAAAGATGACGCAGTATGTGAGTCCATTTACCTAAAATATCCAGAACAGATCATCCATATAGATAGAAAGGAGATTAGTGGTGGCTAGGGCTCTCGAGGTATGGACAGGGTGGGAATGATTGCTGACAGGTAAGGATTTTCCTTTTGGGGTGATGAAAATTATGTGAAATTTTATTTGAGTGATTAACTACACAATACTGTGAATATACTGTATATCACATAACTGCTCACTTTACTTTTGTTTAAGTTTAAAGTTTATTTCTTCTATGATAGATAAAAAGACAGAGAGGCGACCCCAATAGGGTTCCCATACCACAATCCACCGGCTCTACCCAGTCCAGATGACATCATGAGCATCCGGTATGGGCAGGGAGATCCCAGGCTGTTAACTCCTGCCCTTCTCAGATAGGTCCAATCCCAATACCACTGTGCTGCCAGCTGCCCATGCTCTTTTAAATAGGTGAATTTAGCAGCCTGCTTGATAAATGCCCTCAGAAGTGTATGGTAGTCTTGGCAACCATGCCTGACATGTCAACCTCCATTTACGCTGGCATCACATTTAAGCTGTACACACGAGCACAATGCAAATGGGGAAAGACATAAGTAATCATGTGGAAAATTATTTTTGTTGCTGGTGACAAAAACACACTCACTCGTATGTGGGTCTGGTCTGGGACCATCCGTAAAGGCTGTGCACGTCGTAGTGCCGCACCAGGGACCCATCAGGCAGGATCTGCTGGCTCTCCATGCACAGGGTCTTGCTGCTCAGGCCCTTGTCCCTGGATTCCAAATCTGAGAGAAATGCTGAGTTATTTCTCACATGATTTGACTTGCACATTCACTTTGGCATTTCTCTACTTCGATCAGCAACTTTGTTAGCAATAACGGTGCCAATTTCATAAGCTTTTTAGTCAATAAAATCAACGTCCTGTGACTTTATAACTAATGAAGAGTAGGGACAAATTACAGAGCTGGGAAAAGCCCTTTCTTTTTGCTCCAACTCTAATTCAATTTATATAGTTATAGCCCTCAATGGCTGTGCTGTTATGACTGTCCACTAGATGGTTCTGTTCTCAAGGGAATTGATTTTGTTTTAGTCTATTAATGCCCAAATCTTTCTGATATATTAGCCCAAATCTGATACATAAATTTAAAAAGGAAGGATAAAACAAATGAATGAGTAAATAAATGATTTAGTGACCAATGGGCCACATACCAGTGCCCTAGAAATCAAGAAACTTGGATTTTAGGTTCTGGGCCTCTGTAAATCGAGAAGATTCAACTTTGAGACCTTTTGATGCCGGCATTCTATTGCTGCTTGGATCACAGTATAACCAAGGTGTATCCTTTATGAAATATCTGTGAACATAGGCAGAGTACAACTAGACTTTTATTCTCTAACCAAAAGAACCTCTGTGTGTGTATATGTGTGTGTGTGTGTGTGTGCACGGCATGTGCACGTGTGTGTGTACAGGGGGAGTTTATTTAAAACTTTAGCAATCAGTTCATACTTATTAATGTAATCAAATGTACCAGGTATTCTTAGGTTTATTTTGAACTGTATCATGTCATTATTTCTGTGCTTGATTAGTAATTTATTTATTTGCACTTATTCAAGGTTATTCTATTTAGAATTTTATGTCAAGTATAAGAGTCTGTTCAATCTCCAAATTAGGCTTCACTCTGACAGTAAGAGAGCTTTCAGGGTGTTTGAGCAGAGCAGTAATTTAATCGTATGACTATTTTACATACATGGCATGTAGGGTGGGTTATTAAGAATTTCATTATTGCAGTTCCTGACCGACCCATCCACGAAGTTCGATGGCTCATTCATATCCTGAAATGAATTAGCAAAAATATTGGTCACATCAGAGGCAGTACAGTCATTACGATGAAGGACACTAACCTCAGAGAGATGACCATGTTGTACTGACGCCCTTGTCTTGTCAAGGGGCTTAATTTTCTCTGTTGAACCTTTGACCAATGGACTCTAGGAATTTATGTTGATTTTTGCATATTGTTGAAATTCTTCAAGCTCATTTAGCATTTTTTAAATGAGGATTAAGTCATAGAAGCAAAAATACTGAGGTAATACTGGATCAAGAATCTTCAGAAAACTCTTCATTTATCTCCCCCACATGTGAAACCCATTTTTGTTTTGCTGTGGAAGTATTATTTGCTTTTTATCTGTGGTCAGTAGCTAGTTTTTTCCTCTCCTATCCTGTTTTAGTTTACAGTTTTAAGTAATTCTGATAGCAACAGAGATAAATAATCTACATACAAATAAAAGAAGTGATATCTCACTGTCTGTCACAGATACATGCTTGAAAAGTTGTACATAAGTCAGAAAGAAGTCAGGACATAATATCACACTTTAGGGTATTTTTCACTTAAATGTAAGAAATAGGGGCTTCAGAGGGAATGTCTACTGTCTATTTTATCTGTGGAAAGATTACAGTTTCATCTTAAATAGGGCATATGAAAGGCAAGGCAAGAATTCTGGGAAGTAATAATTATTTTGACTTAACCAGCTATGGCCCTCCCTCCACTACAACAAATATCCCAGAGTTATCAAAATGTCGTATTTCTCAAAGCTGTCCACCTCTCTCTGCCGTCTGATTTGCCTGTCTGGGTTAGTACTCGTCCACGTCTGCTCTGTCCCACCTATCTTAAAGGCGTAAGTGGCCAGGGAGGCTCCAGGGCCACCACAGGCTTGTATGTTTGTTTATGGGTGAATCAGAGCTTCTTCCAGCCTGGCCCAGACTTGAGCAGCTCTTCAGAAATGGCTTAGAACTTGCTTAAGATTTCAGGCATGGGTTAGCCTAGAAGACATTACGTTAAGTGAAATAAAGCAGGCATAGAAAGAGTGATTCCCCATGTTCTCCTTCGTGTGTGAAACGTTTAAAAGTGACCTCATAGAAGTAGGGAGATGAAGAATTGCTACAGGAATAGGAAGGATTGAGGGAAGGGAGAGATGGTAATTAAGGGAAACAAAACCACAAATACACAAGAGGAGCAATGTCTAGAGTTAAAAAAAAAAAAACAGGAAAATATGGTTAACAACCACCTACTCCATATCATCTGATAAACTAAAGAGAGGATTTTGAACATTCTCAACATGAAGTAATGACAAAGGGGTAAGATGATGAGTATGCCAATTACCCTGAGTTAGTAATTACACCTTGCCATCTTGTACGAAAAGTTACATTGTACCCCTGAAAATATGTACAATAAGTTTTAAAAATTACTCAATAAAGATTTCAGGCCACTGGGCAGTGGGGAAGGAGATCCGGACACTGGTATGCTTATCATCCCTAGGAAAATGCAGAGGAGCTCTTAGATACATGGCCCAGAGACATCTCGGGAAGCCCTGCTCTTGAGGCCAACTGAAGTACACAAAATCTTCACAGCCTGGAAAGCCTTTCCTTGGAGCCTGTACCAGTAAGTACAGGATGAATGTTTGCTTCAAATGCATGCCTTGCTCACCCCCAGTTCAGCCCCAGATCACAAGATGGGCTCTCAGGTTTCTTAGGCCCTGGTTTCTGGGTGGGTTTGGCCAATGGGAGGCACTGGAAAGAGATTAGGGGGTGGTGGTGAGAGAAGCCTGGGGGGTCATCTCCCTCCTGCTGCAGCAGCATCTCTGGCAGTGGCACATGGGCTACTCCTTGGGCTTCAGCTTCCACCAGACAAGTCTCTGGGCAGACCTGCAACAACCTCTGCTTGTCCTGGTCCTTGCACTTTGATTCTGTGACAGCTTCTCTTTCTTTCAACCCTCCACTCCTAGCTCTGCACTTCGCCAGTCTCTGACTTGCCTCTCCTTGTTTTCGCTGCTAACATTTCCAAAAACAAATAACTAGGGGTGAACTTACAATCCGTAATCCATCAAACTTCAAGTTCTTCTCTGGTTCTTGAGAGTTTCCGTAGAGCATTTCTATCTCCTTCTTCCACCATGCTGCTGTGCTGTTCCGCAAGAAGTCAGGAAAAGCAACGTGGGCCCTGAACAGCTGTAAGAGAGACACACTTGCCCATGGAGGGCTCTCAGCCTGCCCAGGGAGGGGAGTCTGGGGACGGAAAGGGAGATAAGCAGGCATCTGTGCCTTCCTAGCTTGTCTCTGATCCAAGTCAGGTCTGCCGTTGCTGCCGGCTTGACCGCAGACACTGAGGCTGGGGAAGGCTGATTTTATTCCTGAGTTTCTTAGAGGACGGTTGGATAGCTTTAGAGTCCCTTTTTAAACATAGGGTTGGTTTTATGACTGAACATTCAGTCATGAAAATTGGAAAATTAATATTGTCCAAACAAGTGAATTTTAGAAATACAAATGCATGTTTTACATTAGGAAAGTGAAACCAAGGAGGATCCATCATCCAGGAAAAGTGAATTGCAGAGTGGAGAGGATCCCACATCCCCAGGTTGATACAGTAACAAGTGCTGCTGAGATGAAGGCCACTACTCCTTCCAAGTGCCAGTATTTTGGTGTGTTTGGGAGAGATAGAGGGGTGGAGTTTTTTTAGAGAGGATCTTGCTATCCGAGCCTCAGCTTCCTGAGTAGCTGAGACTACAGGTGCACAATACCACGCTTTTTAGGATGGGTTGGGAATTGAACTAGGTCTTCCATGTGGCCTGAGCTTGTCAAGCAGCATTCAATGTGTGCTATGATAGCTGGACCTGTATTTTCTTTTGTATATAGGTGATACATTAAAATTCAATCCTGTCATAATGGGTATCCTTCCAACAAAAATATTCTACATTTGGTTCATCATTTTTCAAGCAAGATTATTCAAACAAATCACAGTCCATTAAAGAAACACATATGAGAGGATTTCATTGATGATATATGTTTACACTTTAGCTGTTGACTTTTCTATTTGAGGATCTCTTTCTACCAAGTAACTACCAGTAGACAAAGCAAACTCAAATTAGAGCTACTTATCCAAGAGATAAGCTACTGCCCATCTGGATAAAGCACATAAATATCCAGGTATTTAGGATAAGGTAGACAAAAATCTATAGACCACTGTACCTTAACCTGTGTTTCATGATCAAGGGATCCATTCACAATTACATTGGGCAGATCTGGCCAAGCCTAGAGAAAATGAGAAAAATTAAAGCCTTTAAAAACATGAGCTATTTCACATGTTAAATTCTAATGATACACATCTCTATGAATTATGTGGGGACATTTGCTACAAATTTCATTGTAAATGTGTTTTCAAAATTTATATTTGAACTTAATAATTAATTTAAAAAAATACTTCCTCTAAGCAATCACCTTTTAAATGATTACTCTGCCTGGCATAGACCTATAACAAAATACCCTTTATAAATAACAAATGAAAAGTGTGACTCTAAAGAAATAAGATTGACTTCAACTCAAAATCTATAGACTTAGCCTCAATACTTTTAAGCTTTACTGTGATTTATTGGGGATGCTCCCAGTAAATGCAGTGTTAAAAAATCCATACTATCCACCAGCTTTATCTGTTACTAATGAGATATTAACTAGGGACCAACAGATGGCATAATGGCTATGTCACTGAATTCCCACATAGTCGACTGCAGTTCGAGTCTCTGGTGGATTGAAACTCATGCCAGGAGTGTGTGCATACATGCCCAAAAATTCCAAGAACAGACTGGAGGAGAGGTGATTGTAGTATGCGGTGTAGCTATCCCCTGTGGGGAGTGATTTCTCACTTTCTATCTCTCTGTCTCTGTTTTGCCCATGGAGGGCTCTCAGCCTGCCCAGGGAGGGGAGTCTGGGGACGGAAAGGGAGATAAGCAGGCATCTGTGCCTTCCTAGCTTGTCTCTGATCCAAGTCAGGTCTGCCGTTGCTGCCGGCTTGACCGCAGACACTGAGGCTGGGGAAGGCTGATTTTATTCCTGAGTTTCTTAGAGGACGGTTGGATAGCTTTAGAGTCCCTTTTTAAACATAGGGTTGGTTTTATGACTGAACATTCAGTCATGAAAATTGGAAAATTAATATTGTCCAAACAAGTGAATTTTAGAAATACAAATGCATGTTTTACATTAGGAAAGTGAAACCAAGGAGGATCCATCATCCAGGAAAAGTGAATTGCAGAGTGGAGAGGATCCCACATCCCCAGGTTGATACAGTAACAAGTGCTGCTGAGATGAAGGCCACTACTCCTTCCAAGTGCCAGTATTTTGTTGTGTTTGGGAGAGATAGAGGGGTGGGGTTTTTTTAGAGAGGATCTTGCTATCCGAGCCTCAGCTTCCTGAGTAGCTGAGACTACAGGTGCACAATACCACGCTTTTTAGGATGGGTTGGGAATTGAACTAGGTCTTCCATGTGGCCTGAGCTTGTCAAGCAGCATTCAATGTGTGCTATGATAGCTGGACCTGTATTTTCTTTTGTATATAGGTGATACATTAAAATTCAATCCTGTCATAATGGGTATCCTTCCAACAAAAATATTCTACATTTGGTTCATCATTTTTCAAGCAAGATTATTCAAACAAATCACAGTCCATTAAAGAAACACATATGAGAGGATTTCATTGATGATATATGTTTACACTTTAGCTGTTGACTTTTCTATTTGAGGATCTCTTTCTACCAAGTAACTACCAGTAGACAAAGCAAACTCAAATTAGAGCTACTTATCCAAGAGATAAGCTACTGCCCATCTGGATAAAGCACATAAATATCCAGGTATTTAGGATAAGGTAGACAAAAATCTATAGACCACTGTACCTTAACCTGTGTTTCATGATCAAGGGATCCATTCACAATTACATTGGGCAGATCTGGCCAAGCCTAGAGAAAATGAGAAAAATTAAAGCCTTTAAAAACATGAGCTATTTCACATGTTAAATTCTAATGATACACATCTCTATGAATTATGTGGGGACATTTGCTACAAATTTCATTGTAAATGTGTTTTCAAAATTTATATTTGAACTTAATAATTAATTTAAAAAAATACTTCCTCTAAGCAATCACCTTTTAAATGATTACTCTGCCTGGCATAGACCTATAACAAAATACCCTTTATAAATAACAAATGAAAAGTGTGACTCTAAAGAAATAAGATTGACTTCAACTCAAAATCTATAGACTTAGCCTCAATACTTTTAAGCTTTACTGTGATTTATTGGGGATGCTCCCAGTAAATGCAGTGTTAAAAAATCCATACTATCCACCAGCTTTATCTGTTACTAATGAGATATTAACTAGGGACCAACAGATGGCATAATGGCTATGTCACTGAATTCCCACGTAGTCGACTGCAGTTCGAGTCCCACATCTGGTGGATTGAAACTCATGCCAGGAGTGTGTGCATACATGCCCAAAAATTCCAAGAACAGACTGGAGGAGAGGTGATTGTAGTATGCGGTGTAGCTATCCCCTGTGGGGAGTGATTTCTCACTTTCTATCTCTCTGTCTCTGTTTCTCCAGCAAGCATACACACCCTATAGCAAAAATCTCTCTGAAAGGAAAAAAAAAAAGACATTAACTATACACATGGATTAATTAATTCAATTAGCCAACATTTATGAAGAACTTACTATATACCAGCACTATACTAGGATCTGTATCTACTGAGATTTAAGTGAGAAAAGAGTTGGTTTTCTAAGAGTTCCCTGATGGTAACATACGTAAGTGTTATGTTGTATGCCACATCCTCTGAGGGCAATGAAGCAGAAAAGGGAAACAGGAAAAGCTAACGTTATTATGGAATGCCCCATAAGAGCTAAGACTGAGTTGGTCTTGAAGGGTAGATATCCTAGTGAGGGGAGAAGGCAATATTCAAAGTAAACGTAGCATATACCCAAAACATAGCCTATACCAGGAGCATCGTAGAATTGAGGAGAGAGTTTGAATCTGGCTAACAGCTGCTCTCCTCTGGAGGCAGAAAGTCTACCTACGAAGCTTTGGTATAAATCAGACATAGGAGGATGAGGATTAGGGCCATAAAAACGGGAATCAAAGAAGACAAGGGAAAGAAGAATGAATCTGCATGACTCAACAATTGATTCAGACACAGACTGACTAAGCATCATAGGGGAAAGTGGATGGGTGTTTGGGGTGTGGGTAGCTGGAAGACACATATTTCACAGTCACTTCGAAAAGATTCTTAATGTTTGCTGAATGACCAGCTGGAATACATAAAGGGTAGGATGTCAGAATATTTCCATTAGAGGATAAGACCTGCAACCTTGGTCTTACTAATGTTTATTGAACTAATCAGCTTCAGACAGATTTGGTAGCTGGGAGACATATTTCACAGTCACTCGAAAAGATTCTTAATGTTTGCTGAATGACCAGCTGGAATACATAAAGGGTGGGACGTCAGAATATTTCCATTAGAGGATAAGACCTGCAACCTTGGTCTTACTAATGTTTATTGAACTAATCAGCTTCAGACAGATTTTTATGTATTCATAATTTATTAATTGCCCAATTTATTTTTCCAAGATTTTCTAAGAGCCTCCTTTCATCAGTTCGTTGTGATGGTTAATTACAGGCACCTTTCTCAAATCTCACCTTTCCCCAGACGATGTCATTGGTGTCAGGCCACTTGATGAACACGTTGTTATCCCGTCCTCTGTTGAATGTGAGATATTCTGTCTCATTACCAGAAATAGCTGGATTCTGCAGTGAAAAGGTTGCAAACAGCAAACATGAGAGAAACATCTCCAAAAAAAATCCTCTCTAGTAATATCATAATTCATTGTGCAGAAAGAAATGGTGAGCCTCAATGCGCAATAAGATAAAATAAAACATTATGAATACTTTGCCTTGTGTCTTCTAGCTTTATTATCATTGCAATGGATGGTGCCACAGAAATCCAAAGTAAGATACACAGCCTTTCAAATGTTAAGAATCTATAGAGCTTTTCCATACTATAAAAAGTAACCATGAATAAAACAGAATATTTTAGAAATTTAAGTATGACATGAGAAAAGAGTAGAGAGGGAAAAGAATATATGGATGTTTCTCCATAAAATTCTTGATTTAAAGAATATGCTGTGTTTGAAACAATGGCTAGTAAGACATTATCCTCAAGAAGAGAGAGCCAGTTCTTCGTGTTTCCAGAGTATAAAAGCAATATTTCTTAACGACGTGAAACTTTCTTATTCTGTGGCCCAACTTGCCTATCTAAAATGGCTTTCCCTGTGTACCCCATCTCATATCTACCCTAATTTCTCTCTATAATATCCTGCTCTTTCACAATGTTCATATAAGACATCACTATCTGGAAACATTTTTATTCTTTTTCTTTCCTTCTTTCTTTTTCTTTCTTTCTTTTTTTCTTTCTTTCTCTCTTTTTTTTTTTTTTTTTTTTTTTTTGTTTAGGGCGTTTTTTTTTTTTTTTTTTTGGCTAGAGGGCATGTGCACTCACCAGAGAGAAGAAAGCACCCTGCCTATGGGGAATGGTCATGCCATAATCCCTTCACTCCATTCTCTTAGGGTTTTGGACACACATGCACATGCAGTACATGTATTTCCCAAGCTGCCAGGCCCAGGACTCAAACCACATGGTTGGCCATGTGGGATATGACTGCCCCAATCAGCAGGGTAGGGAGCCGCCCCTGAAAATATCTTTTTAAGTGTTGATTTACTGGTTCTTTTCCTCCACTAGAATATAAAAAGTAAAAAAAAGTTAATTAATTAATTAATTAATTAATTAAACACACAAACCTAATATGAAAAAGAACATTGTCTTATTTACTAACTTAGAATACATACACACAAGACTTTGAGAACAGTGATTTTAAAATAGCAAGTGTGCAGAGTCAGTAGGTAGCATGGTGGTTAAGGTGCTAGACTCCTACATGGTCAACTGCGGTTCAAGTCTCAGACCCAGCAGCTTGAAAATCACGCCGGCCACTTGTACATTCATGCCTAAAATTCTGAGAGAAAAGTGAAGGAGGAGGGTGTGGCCATCCCCTCTGGGAAGGGTGATTTTTCACTTAGCCTCTCTCTGTCTCTCTCAGGCAAGCTCACGCACCCTATGGAAAAAATAAATAAATAAATAAATGGACAATAAATACTTGAATGAGTGAACAAAAGTAAGCAAGTAATTCTCTAAGTTTTGGAAGCTAAAATAGAGAAGAGTAAATGATTTTTAGGTAATTACTAATATATTTATCAAGGTATAGCTTCCAATGTAAAATTTTTAATTGGGGTGCCAGCAGTTGGTGTAATGGCTATGTCGCTAGACTCTCATGTATTCGATTGAGGTTCAAGTCCCAGCCCTGGTAGCTTAAATTCATGCCAGGCGTGTGTTGCATGCGTGCCCAAGATCCCAAGAGGGGAATGGAGAAGAGATTATAGCATGGCCATCTCCCCTGGGGGGGAGTGATTTCTTGCTTTCTGTCTCTGCCTCTCTCTGCCTTTCTGGCGAGCACATGCACCTTATAGCAAAAAGACCTCTCCAAAAAAAATTTTTTTCTTATAATTGGTGTTTTGAATCTGAACTCAGTTGCTTATTGAAATTAATCTCTTTGGCCTCATCGTTGCTGAACAGTGGTTTAATGTAAGACAGTTTTGAACCTTCAAAGATAGAGATGATACTAAGATACAGCCTGAAACAGTGACACATCTTTCCCCTATGTTCAATGTTTCAGCCCACAGCTTTTCTCTTTTTTTCCCTAAAGATACCTTATTATTTTATTATATTATTTTACATTTAATCACTGTATAACATTAAAACATACAAAATGAATTTTCCTAGCATGAATACACTGTTTCAGTCTAGTCAAAGATATTACCATATACATTATTATCAACAGATAATTTTCCATTCTTGTGTCCCATAAATGTTTTGTTTTTCTTTTTCCCCTTGATTCCCTTTCTCTCACCATACTCCATTTCCCACCCTCTTTCCACACTGTTTCCAGTACCACCATTGCTCTCCATGTTTTCATACCTTCAAATCTTTCAGTTTCTACCATAGAGTGTAGGTATTAAGTATATATTGAGTGGGGACATGCAGTACCTCTCTTTCATAGTCTGATTTGCTTTGCTTAACAGTAAAACTTCCATATTCACCCACTTTCTGTCAAATGCCAGGGTTTCATTGTCTTTTTTGTTCGTTAGTTGGTTCATTTTTATGACTGAGTAGTATTCCATAGTGTATATGTGCCACACTTTTTTAGTCCATTCATCTGTTTGTGGACATTTGGGTTGGTTCCATGTCTTAGCAATTGTGAATAAACATGAATGTGCAAATGTTTTTCTCTTTTTTTTCACTTTTTTTTTTTGAGAGGTTTTTGCTATAGGGCGCGTGTGCTCGCCAGACAGACAGAGAGAGACAGAGAGATAGAAAGCGAGAAATCACCCCCCAGGGGGGATGGCTACGCCACAATCCCATCTCCTCCATTCTCCTTTCGGGATCTTGGGCATACATGTATACACGCCCGGCGTGAGTTTAAGCCACTGGGTTTGGGACTCGAATCATGGTCGACTACATAGGAGTCCAGCGACATAACCATTATGCTAACTGCTGGTCCTGTGCAAATGTTTTTCTGACAGAGTGTATATATTCCTATCTTTTGGGTAGATACTCAGAAGTGGAATTGCTGGATCACCATCCACGGTTTTTCTAACTCTACTAAGAGAACAGTAATGGGCCATCAAGTGGCATGTGGTCAAGGCGGTGAGTTCCTGGCCACAATTCAAGTTCCAGCAACTTGAAAATCACACTAGGTGTATGCACATGCATGCTCAAAATCCTGAGAGGAGAGTGAAGGAGGAAAGTGGAGGAGAAGAGATTACAGAGTAACCATCCCCATTGAGGGAGTGACTTCTCATTTTCCCTCTCTCTGTCTCTCTCCTCTCCCAGGTAAATGCATGTGCCCTATGGCAAAAAGAAAAAAAAGATGGTAATAATAAATTACATACCAGTGATGCTGAATTATGAAAAATAAATATTACAAAGCATTATTTTTAAAAGTCATTTTCCTTTGTTTATTTTCTCTATAAAATTTTAAAATTATACATTCATAGGAAGTTGCAAAAACATGTACAGGGAGATTTCTTATATGCTTCATCCTGTTTCCCCAGTGGTATTATTTTTGAAACCCAAATATAGAAATAGAACACAAGATGTGTCTCAATTCCTACCAGAACGAGAATAAACCTCATGCCATTTTTCTTCATCTGCTCAATCAGGCGGCTGAGGTTTTGAAAGCTGGGGCTGAGGGTGAAGTCCAGCTTCCGGTCCATGTAGTCGATGTCTACATGCTGGACATCCTATGGGAAAGAGCAAGAGGTGTGCTGAGGACCCCACAGCAGGTATCCCGCAGGGTACTCTGCTTGCTGACCCCAGCCCAGATCCCTTTTCTTTCCTATCTCGCTGTCTCATGACTCCCCTACATCGGCTTCCCAGGGTGCTGATTAAAGTTGCTCTCTGATTCCACACACGGCTCACCTGTACCCACTCCATTCCCATTTGTTCCCCAACTGGAACTCTCTCCCCACCCCTCCCTGCAATGCATGTCTTCCCCACTCTTCATCTCAAATTCGATGAGCCTATCAAACAAATGCTACTTGAAAAGTTCAAAGGTAGATAATAGGACTTACCTATGAAATGAAAAGATCATATGCCTGAGGGGTTTTGTCTTCCTATAGTACCATGACTAAATTTATTCACAGTTATAGCTACATTATTCTATAACTTTCTAGAATGTATCTCTCTCTACACAGTACCAGCCTGGGTTTTTACACATGAAACTTACTAGATCCATAACTTTTGAATGAGTGGTTCAATGGCAAAATGGTTAATGTTCCAATAAAAAAGAATAAAATGGTTAATATTTAGTTGAATATGGTTAATATTCAGTTAGTTATTAAAGTGTTAATAATCAGTTGAAAAAGATAGATGCTTTTTTTTTTTTTCTTTTAAGCCTGAAGCTGATCATCACTTGTATTGCCTTAAGACTTAGGTGAAAGCTGTTTGGAAGAACCAGAGATTTGTGCATAAGTCAAAGTTTAGAAAAGAATAAATCAGCCATAGTATTGATATTGATCACTTTGTTAAAATTTATCAATGGATGGGACCAGCAGTTAGCGTAATGGCTATGTCACTGGACTCCCACATAGTCGACCGCGGTTCAAGTCCCGGGCCCAGCAGCTTAAGCTCACACCGGGCACGCATGCGTGCCCAAGATCCCAAGAGGAGAATGGAGGAGAAGGGATTGTGGCGTGGCCATCCCCCCTGGGGGGGTAATTTCTCACTTTCTGTCTCTCTGTCTTTCTATGTCTTTCCAGTGAGCACACACGCCCTATAACGAAAAAAAAAAAAACCTCTCCAAAAAAAAAAAATTATCAATGGACATTTTTATTTTATAATTTTTCTCATTTATATTTAATAACTATGTAGTATAAATAGTATATATGTATATATATTTAAAGCCTTGGATATATGAGTCAAATTATCTTTGACAAAAACATCACAGCATTTTATCTTATTCTCACCTGTCAATCTAGTCCTCCAAAATCTCAGGAGGTAAATTGGAAGCAGAAAAAGAAAATTAATGATCATTATTAATTCATTATGAGAAGAAAAAGAGCATGCTATCTGTAGAATTTTGCCGTTGACATTTCTTGGAACTTTTCTGAGTAACTAGGTTGTCATTATAGGATATGGTATGTGTGTATGTATGTTTCAGAGAAAGTGAAGGCTTTATTTTAACTGCTTTCTTGCATATCATCATTTTACTCTCATCTCTCCAGAATTCTCTCTTTAAACCCCTAGAGTTGTGGCCTACACACAGCCATGGCCACTGCAGGATATTCCTGACAAGGGACAGTGAGTGCCAGCTTCCTCAAATCACACCACTAACTGCTGAAGGACATATGCACTCTAGATTTTGAACCTTGATTAAAGTGTAACAGGAAATGAGTTTAATGAACAATGTATTTCACATAGGAATAGCTCTGCAGCTGCATTTGTTTATACTGAAGTAATCTCAGTAGTAATTTCTATGAAGCTGTTTTCAACATACAATTAGCCAAGAATGCTCAGAACTAGTGAAACCGCAGGCTAAGTTACATACATAGGGAATCTGTGCTGCCACCATCTCATCGTACAAATCGGAGATTTCAGTAGCATCCTGGTATCCATAGCGACTCAACTGGAATCCCAAGGCCCAGTATGGAGGCATCACTGGACGACCAATCAACTAGAGTAAAAACAAAAATAAATGCAGTTAGACTTCTTAGCAAGGAAGAGTTGGTTGGCTTGTACTTAGAGACAGCATCTTTACTGAATACTGTCTGATCTAAGAGGCCTCACTCAAGAAAAATAAGGAAGTCAGATAAATGTGGAACAACTAATAGAATGTAGAGTGATACAGAAATATTGCAATTTAAGTTTCTCTATATTCTAGAGTTTTCACTCTAGAGAACTTGTTTATTACTAATTAAATATTCTTAAACAGGCAATTTAGTAATCAAGAGACACATGGGTATGTCTTTATACTTCTATAACACTAAAACCTGATTTTCAAGAAAGATACATCTAGTGGGGACAAACAAGGTCATAAGTACACCTGGCTTATCTCAATACTAATAATGTAGTAACACTCAATAAATATTTGATAGCTTCCAACCTCAGTGTATTGCTGAGTTACAAGTTCAGGGGTTGGCCCTAAAACCATATAAAAGTCCAAAATCCCTCCTGTGATGCGATATGTCAGAGCAGGTGTAGGCTGGAATGTCACATCTGTAAAAATTAAAAATATAAAATAGATGAGAAGCAGTCTTGGAGCTATGAATCATCCAGATAGAGCATCTACCCTAACGTTTGCTATTTTCATTCTCTTTATTGAATGCCTTCCCCTTCTACAAGGCTTTTCTCATTCAGTGGAATCAGAGATGGATTTTTAGATATGTCAACAATTTACATCCCTCTGAAAAGGATCAAAGTGTCATAGTAATACAAGGTAACATAAGAGTAGAGACTGTCCCATAGTGCAGTGCTTAAGGACTGCGCATTGAGAACTGGATCCCATATGGCTGACCACAGTCTGAATCCCAGCCCTGGTGGCTTGAAAAACACTCTGGGGTGTTTCTGTGCTGACATTCCCAAAATACTGATCAGAAGGGGAAATGAAGGAAAAAGGATGGCAGCATGGCCATATCCCATAGGGGGCTTTGCTCCCTCTCTCTCTTTCTCTCTCTCTCTTTGGCAAGCACATGTACCATCTGACAATTAAAAACAAAACAAAAAGAGTAGAGACCATGTTTAGTCAAAATTTTACACCTAATACCTAGTCTAGAGCTCTGAGGAAATTATTTGTTGTTTAATGTTTTAAAAATGAATGAATGAACAGAAGGTCAGTTTATTTGTCCCATTTCTTGTGCCCCTGAATATCTCTATTTTTACTGATATCTCATATCCCAGCACAGTGATCACCGCTGTCCATGGTGTTACACAGGGATGTGCCTCCGTCTTACCCATGGCATTGCTGTTGAGCAGGAGCACTCCGTGGGCACTACCATCGTCCTCCAGTGCCATATAGTAGGGGTGGACACCATAGGAGTTCTTCTTGTACTGGGAGAGTCATGGGGTAATACAAAAGATCCAAGAAATTATTCTTACAGCATACTTCCAACAGCAAATTCATACTTCACCTTAAATGATCAGCTCAGTGTCTCTTTCTTTATGAAGCCTTATGTGCCCTTTCCTTCCACCCCAAGGAAACACCCATGCTCTCTTCTAGAATGTATCTCTCTCTACACAGTACCAGCCTGGGTTTTTACACATGAAACTTACTAGATCCATAACTTTTGAATGAGTGGTTCAATGGCAAAATGGTTAATGTTCCAATAAAAAAGAATAAAATGGTTAATATTTAGTTGAATATGGTTAATATTCATTTAGTTATTACAGTGTTAATAATCAGTTGAAAAAGATAGATGCTTTTTTTTTTTTTCTTTTAAGCCTGAAGCTGATCATCACTTGAATTGCTTTAAGACTTAGGTGAAAGCTGTTTGG